TCTTTGTGGCGGATAAATTCAACACCAAGGAATTCTCTGTGGAAGAGGATACAGTTTTTGATAGTAGGTGTTTTACTCAAAGTTATATAGGTACGTCTTTGCAGTTCATATGAAAAAGATAAAAATGACAACTAATGGTGCAGTATGTCCCAAACGGGGTAGAGTGCAATATAAAAGATATGTGGTCCTACTCATGTTTTATAGAGCTATGAACTTAGCTCTTGTGTTGATAACGTACAGTGGTACAATCCCCACTTATGGGATACGTGAGGTTTGTGCTGTCTTGCTTGATCAAGGAACCATATGGGGAATAAAAAAAGACAGCAATAGTGCTCAAAGTATAAAAAGACAGAGGTGAGAAAATAAAAATACCAAGCGGTTACTCACATTTGATTGAGCAGGCTAACTGCTCAATGGATACAGCTTGAGTGGTATAATGCCCACTTAGGATTCTTTGGAGTAATATCCACACTGGAAAGTAAAAAGACTTCTGGTACCAGATATAAGGGTGGTAATAAAAGTAATAAAATACTAAAAGAATAAAAATATTAAAAAGTAAAATGGCTAACTCCTAGTAAGAAAGTGGCCAAAATACCTTTAATAAAACAATACTGTTATATAAAAACCACACATTAAGCTGTAGTTGTTCTGGTGACTATAGTGTTAACCACAAGAGAAAATAAATTACACAGAGATGAAGAGGATTATAAAAAATGGGGGGGAAAAGAGTTGAAAAAGAAATGCAGGGTCTTATAACTAAAGAACACAGAACTTACCAAAACAAAAACAAAGGTAAAAGTAGAATAGATGAGAAAAGATTTGAGGGACCACAAAAGAATAAAATTAATGGGGATTGTAATTTGGTAGTAAGACATAAAGAGACCTTAAAAATATTTGAAAATAGTAATAGAAGTAATAGAAGAGATAAGTCAAGCAATAAGAGTATTTTATTTACAGAACCGTGTGAAAGCCAATTATTAAACGGAGCCCAAATGTGTGGTTCCACAGTAACAAAATTTCACCACTTCTGGCGACCCAGACCCCTTCCAAGAAAAGGAGACTCCTAGGAGTAACAGGAGGAGTCAGGGAACCAGAGGAGGGAGAAATGTCAGATTAACTAACAAGGTCAATTCAGAGGTAATTTTTAATTTAATTTGCTTATTTTTTTTTTTATTTGCTTAAATGTGGAACAGTTAAATGTCTTAAATAAAGGTCTGAAATTTGCCCCACAAGAAAATAGCAATATGTTAGAACTTTGTGCTATATATCTTTTGGCCCTTAGAGGCCTCTGTTCCTAGCTTATTCAGTCTGTTTGCTACTAGTTTTGTTTTTGTTCATCTCCTAGCAACCGGACTAAGCGTCATGTGACCCAGTGTCCAAGAAGGCGGAGGGATGTCCGGATGCTCAATTATGCAAGGGAGGTGTGGGGAATTATGGTCTATCCTGTCTATTTGGGTCGGGTATTTAATGGTGAGTGCATTCTGTTTTTGTAAGGACATGCATTTATAAAGGGGATACATTTGTACTTTAAGCAGTGGCGTAGAACTTTTGCCACCCGGAGCTGCTCCTGAGTTTGCGGTCCCCTATGCGAATGTCCGTGGCTGCACCAGACATACCTCCTTTAAGTACTCAACGCCTCTAGTCCAACAAACAACCTTTTAAAGCTTTTTTAATTACACCCAATTAATACATGCATGAAAAATTAATTAATGTAATTCATTGGGGGCATATCTACTAAACTGTGATTTTATTGGAGGGAGGGGGGTTTGCCCATTTGGGCAGAGTGTTCCTTTAAATAATTGTTACTGAAGCGCTTATAATGTGTATATACACATTTAAAAATATATATACCTTTCTCTTTTGGCAGGGATGGAGGGGGTGTGTGGAATATACAGGAACTGAGTGGGATCTATGCAGGGAGGGAGGGGGACGGGGCAGGGTAGGCAGGGAAGAGAGGGGATCTGTACAGGGGAGGGAAGGTGACTGTCAGGGTGCCGGGAAGGCAGGGGGAGAGGGGATCTATGCAGGAGAGGGAGACGGGGTCTGTGCAGGGGATGGAGGGGGAGATGGGATATGTGGAGAGGGGTATGTACAGGGGAGTGAGGGGGACTGTCAGGTCGCAGGTGAGGCAGGGAGAGAAGGGTATGTGCAGGGGAGGGATAGAGGGGATCTGTGCAGGGAAGGGAGGATGAGAGGGGGTCTGTGCAGGGGAGAGATGGGATCTGTGCAGGGGAGGCAGGGGGAGAGGGGATGTGTGCAGGGAAGGGACAAGGAGAGGAGATATGTTCAGGGGAAGCATGAGTAGAGGGGATGAGTGCAGGGGAGGCAGTGGAAAGGGGATGTGTGCAGGGGAGGCAGGGAGAGAGGGGATCTGTATAGGGAGGGAGATTGTGAAGGGAGAGAGGGGATCTGTATAGTGAGGGAGATTGTGAAGGGAGAGAGGGGATCTGTGCTGGGAGGGAGGGGGGACTGGATCTGTGCAGGGGAGAGAGTGGATCTGTGCAGGGGAGGCAGGGGGAGAGGGGTATGTACAGGGGAGTGAGGGGGTCTGTCAGGTCGCAGGTGAGGCAGGGAGAGAAGGGTCTGTGCAGGGGAGGGAGGGATAGAGGGGATCTGTGCAGGGAAGAGAGGGGGAGAGGGGATCTGTGCAGGGGAGGAAGGGGGTTTATGGGGTCTGTGCAGGGAGGCACGGGGAGAGGGGATGTGTGCATGGGAGGGACAAGGAGAGGGGATCTGTCCAGGGGAGGCATGGGTAGAGGGGATGTGTGCAGGGAGAGAGGGTATCTGTGCAGGGGAGAAGGGCGACTGTCAGGAAGGGAGGGGGAGAGGTGTTACGCTACTTGGGTGATTTGGATTGGAACTCAACTGCAGCTTGTAAAACTCCCTAATTACAATAGTGAAGAAACGGAGAATCTTTAAAGTATCAATACTGAAGCTTTAAGAAAGGAGAGGATTGCTGGCACTTTGAAAATCAAATGAAGTTTTAATAATTGTTAAACTTAATGAATTGCATTTAGGCAATAATCCAATAAGAATAGGTGAAAGTCATTAAACAATACAAAGTTCATCAATAAGTATTTCCTCAGAGGTATATTAAATAAAATTCATTAGGTTGCTAGGAATAATCTTCAATAATGATATTTAGCAGGTAGCAAAGTATTTGCAAAGCAAGAAACCGTTCCTAGTGATTAAGCTTGATGGGAGTTGTCCTCCATATAATTAGTAGCTTGGAGCAGTGAAGTTTTAAGCAAACAGTAAATAGTTCATCAATAAATGAGATAGCAGAGAATAGCTGAAAGGTATACTTAAGGTTAAGGTGAGATATCCTCCAAGAGTTCAAAGTTATAGTCCACTTGTTAATTAACAAGTATCAGTTCTCCAGTAATCCTCCATGGCATGCAGTATCATCCATGCATTAGCTCAAAGGCTAGGACGGCTTGTCAGAGTCTATGGGGCCGGCGTGTATACCAGGAAGTGGGTCCCACATTGTCAGAGCCTTGGGAGCTGGCGAGTATGGCGGAAGTAGGTCACACAATCACCAAGCGCCTTCTCTCTGGCGCGGACTGTTTAAGTACAGTCAGAGCCGTGTCAGAGGGGGGCGGGGTCAGCTCCGCATCGCGGTAGTGCCGAACCCGGAAGTGTTACTGCATGACAAGAGGGTATCTGTGCAGGGCAGGCAGGGAGAGAGAGGATCTGTGCAGGGGAGGCAGGGAGAGAGGGGATCTGTACAGGGAGGGGGTTTGTGAAGGGAGTGAGGGGATCTGTGCAGGGAAGGGGGACTGTAAGTGAGTCAAGGGGAGAGGGGATCTGTGCAGGGGAGGGATGGGGACTGGCAGGGAGGCAGGAGGAGAGAGGATCTGTGCAGGGGAGGGATGGGGACTGTCAGGGAGGGAGGGGGAGAGGGGATCTGTGCATGGAGGGGAGGGGCACTGTCAGGGATAAAGGGGAGAGGGGATCTGTGAAGTTGACGGAGGGAGGACTGTCAGGGAGGCAGAGTAGAGGGGATCTATGCAGGGAGAGGGACTGTCAGGGAGGCAGGGGGAGAGGGGATCTGTGCAGGGGAGGGAGGAGGACTGTCAGGGAGGCAGGGGGCGAGGGGATCTGTACAAGGAAGGGGGCTGTCAGGGAGGCAGGGGGAGAGGGGATCTGTGCAGGAGAGGCAGGGGGAGAAGGGATCTGTGTAGGGAAGAGCTTACCTGGTGTTTCTGTCAGGCTGCTCTTCCTCCCCACTCGCAGGACAGGAGAGCACAGGAAGTGACCCCAGTTCCCATGCCTCCTGCCCTGCATCTTCCCCTTACTCACTGCACTGCACGCAGGAGACCTGTACGTGGTCCTGTATTTTTTTGGTTATGAGCAATTGTGAGGGTAGCCGGTTTGTCGACCAGAGTTCCGCTATTGCTCGCCTTGCTGCCAGAGCGATACGCACGCTAAGTTTGTTTTCTGCTCTGGTTAGGCTCTCTAGAGGTTTGGAGAGCAGTAGGGCCCATGGATCTAGAGGGTATGGCTTATGTAAGAGTTTCGTCAGTAAGGTAGTGATTACACTTTTCTAAACCTTCATTTAAAAAATTCAAACAATTGTTTCTTAAAAACATCCATAGGACTATTCCTTAAAATTTTATAAGTATTTTTATCACCAAATATTTTGTCAGACTCCTCTATGTAATTGTCCCTATTTAAAATGACTTTGCCTTGTCTGATTACTATCGCTTGATTTTCCTTGTTGTTTAAGTGCAGATTTTCTTTTTTGGTTAAATTTTCTTTCCCATTGTTTTTAGTCATCTCTTCAAACTCCGTTAAAATTGTATCACTAAATGCAAGAATGTAATCTCCTTTTTCCCATGTAGGGAAAAATTTAGACCTATTTTTTAAATTGGAATTATTTATTTCAGGAGTCAAATGTCCTTCAGTCTGTCTAGATATATATGGTCAGCATAAAAGCGAAGCAGGCACTTATCCAAGCCTGGGACGGAAACAAAGCCCTGCATCGCTATGCCAACACCGATCACCGGAACGCTCAAGCACATGCCCCACATATGCCACAAGCGGGGATCGGATGAACCAGACGCAGCACAAGCATCGCCCCCAGGGTGGGGACCACAGAGTTGTCTCTTCTTGGACTGGCACTCACTCACAATACCACACTGCCTGCTATTATGTAATCATATCATTACTGCTTCGTTGTTTTTTTTTCCTTTTTTTTCTCTCTCCCTCTTTCCCTTATACTTTCCCTCTCTTGCCAATAACACAAGGGCGATGCTAACTATTTACTGTTTACTGCTCCAATTTTGAGGCACCCCGGAGGCAAGTGGTCCAATACCATCTGACAACCTAGAGCCCACGCCAGAACCCATTATCAGCCTGGTATAACCTTGCTGTCTCACTGCTTTAACCCAGTACCAATAGCATGTCTCACAATCTATGTTACAAACTTTATATACCTACTTGTCTTTGAACTTGCATGCATAGAATAGAAGATCTCGCTTAGAATCTCCTCTAGACATGTTCTGCCTAGCCTGTACCTATCACCATAAAAAATGTGTAGTTTAATCAAATGCCTTATAACAGTTATGCATTGTTCAGCTCATTATCTTGCCTTTGCTGTTGGGGCACTGCAAGAATGTCTGTCACTCTCATGCACACAAAAATAAAGAATTAAAAAAAAAAAAGTTAGAAATTGATTTGCATGTCAATAAGTGAAATAAGTAATTGATCTATCAATCAGCAAGATTTCTGGCTCCCAGGTGTCTTTTATACAGGTAACGAGCTGAGATTAGGAGCACTGTCTTAAAGGGAGTGCTCCTAATCTTAGCTCGTTACCTGTATAAAAGAAACCTGTCCACAGAAGCAATCAATTAATCAGATTCCAAACTCTCCACCATGGCCAAGACCAAAGAGCTGTCCAAGAATGTCAGGGACCAGACTGTAGACCTACACAATGGGCTACAAGACCATCATCACGCAGCTTGGTGAGAAGGTGACAACACTTGGTGTGAATATTCGCAAATGGAAGAAACACAAAATAACTGTCAGTCTCCCTCGGTCTAGTTCTCCGTGCAAGATCTCACCTCGTGGAGTTTCAATGATCATGAGAACGATGAGGAATCAGCCAAGAACTACGTGGGAGGATCTTGTTAATGATCTCAAGGCAGCTGGGACCATAGTCACCAAGAAAACAATTGGTAACACACTACGCCGTGAAGGACTGAAATCCTGCCGCGCCCGCAAGGACCCCCTGTTCAAGAAAGAACATGTACAGGCCTGTCTGAAGTTTGAACATCTTAATGATTCCAAGGAGAACTGGGTGAAAGTGTTGTGGTCAGATGAGAACAAAATCAAGCTCTTTGGCATCAACTCAACTCGCCGTGTTTGGAGGAGGAGGAATGCTGCCTATGACCCCAAGAACACCATCCCCACCGTCAAACATGGAGGTGGAAACATTATGCTTTGGGGGTGTTTTTCTGCTAAGGGTACAGGACAACTGCACCGCATCAAAGGGACAATGGACAAAGATACCGTCATATCTTGGGTGAGAACCTCCTTCCCTCAGCCAGGGCATTGAAAATGGGTCGTGGATGGGTATTCCAGCATGACAATGACCCAAAACACAAAGCCAAGACAACAAAGGAGTGGCTCAAGAAGAAGCACATTAAGGTCCTGGAATGGCCCAGCCAGACCAGGCCTTAATCCCATAAAAAATATGTGGAGGGAGCTGAAGGTTCGAGTTGCCAAATGTCAGCCTCGAAACCTTAATGACTTGGAGACGATCTGCAAAGAGGAGTGGGACAAAAGCCCTCCTGAGATGTCTGCAAACCTGGTGGGCAACTACGAGAAACGTCTGACCTCTGTGATTGCAAACAAGGGTTTTGCCACCAAGTACTAAGTCAAAGGGGTCAAATACTTATTTCACTCATTGACATGCAAATTAATTTATAACTTTTTGGACATGCTTTTTTCTGGATTTTTTTTTCTTAATCTGTCTCTCACTGTTAAAATACACCTACCATTAAAATTACAGATTGATCAATTCATTGTCAGTGGGCAAATGTTCAAAATCAGCAGGGGATCAAATACTTTTCCCCCTCAATGTACAAGACATAAGTCAGTGGTGTAGCAAAAGGGGTTGGGTGGCGCATCCACCCCTGGTGGCACTTTTTTGGAAAGGCGGCAAGGCCCCTGCTGATTCCCATACTCCCTCCCAACCTCTGAGTGAGACCTGGCAGCTATCCTGCTCTGCTTGCCAGGTCTCCTGCGTGCGCTGCAGTGAGTAAGGGGAAGATGCAGGGCAGGAGGCATGGGAACTGAGGTCACTTCCTGTGCTCTCCTGTCCTGCGAGTGGGGAGGAAGAGCAGCCTGACAGAAACACCAGCTTACATCCCAACTCCACGATACGCCCAAACACTTTCACAAAATCTGGGACCCATGGCTGGAAGGGGATACTTCACTACTGTCAGGGTATTTATATCGGCAGACATTTTGTGCTATGATAGAAATTAAAAGTGTATATTCTGAGTATCTCTGAACAGACCAGACTCCATTTTGTTATTTTCAAGCTAACAAAAAGACACAAGATTTCTATCTGTAAAACTAACCACTTTGCCAGAGCTAAAGGAATGCATAGTATAAACAAACCAAGTGATAAGGAGAACGGGAGTTGGACAGACTGGCTTAAATGCTAATGGAATAATCAATTCTAAACCCAGACAATTGTGACAGAGAAGATTAAATAATAAAATTTTACTGTCTATATGTATAAGGTCCCATTGTAAGTTACGGGTCAAAACTCAGAATTTGCCAGACACATAGTCTGGACAAAACTTAAAGAAACTGTTTGATCTGAAAGGAAACGTAAGTTATGGCCACTATCAAGATAGGCCAAAATGACGTCAAAATAGCCACCAGGAAAAGTTAACTCTTTCCTGGATAGGTATGTTTAGTGGGACAAGACTGCCCTCTATAGACCAAATACCTAAATTGCGATCCCTAGGTAAGCACACCTCTAGTGCTTCTATTGGGTTATCAACTGATGACGTACAGAGAGTCTGGCCCTTTAAAAGTTAGGACAAAGGGAAGGAAAGGGACAGAGACGAGGTATGCAAAGGAGAAAGAAAAAGAGGAGAGAGGAATTGGAAGTTTGGGGACTCCAACCTCCATGCAGAGAAACCCAGGACAACATCTGAGACTAACACTCTACTCTTAAAACTCTAACACTTAGAATTTTACTGACTTTCTAACCAACACCACCTTTCACCATAACTCATGCAGAGAGACATCCAAATAAGTTCCTGAGACTATCTACCAATCGGATGAAATATCTACTCAACTGGTAATTATACTGGTTTCATTTAATTAATTAAATTAATTAAAATTTACTAATAGCATGATATATGACTGGATAAAGCACGGTCAGATTTCCATATTAAGAAATCTTAGTTAACTAAAGAATATATAGTTATAAACATTCCATTCTGCAGGTGGAATTAAGAATAATTATATATTGATGTGATATTATCACGTGTTAGCATACCGCTGTTTTTATCCAGGTGTATTGATTTGCTCTAATATAAGATAGATATCTTTTAGACAAATTAAAATCTGCTTATATAATCATGGTAGATTCTCTTATTGGATGGTTCCAGGAAATGACTAATGAACTGGTTTAAATGTTATTTTATTTAAAATTACATAAGAATAGATCTTAATTACCTAGGAGATCTAGCCAGCATTGAAAGGGTTATTCTAACTGTTAGCCAGGGTTTTATGGCCCTTCGCTGTGAAAAGCTTTCTCTCTGTGAAAGATACCGTATTTATCGGCGTATAACACGCACTTTTTCTCCCTGAAAATAGGGGAGAAATTGTGGGTGCGTGTTATACGCCGACCCTTTAAATACTGTAGCCGCCTGAGCGCTCTGTCAAGAGCGCTCAGGCGGCTGCAGTTGGTACTCACCTCCCCTGTAGCGTGGCCGAGCCGCTCTGCTGTCCAGGAACAGGAGTTTCTGTTTCCTGTACCCGGTCGGACTGACAGGAAGGTGCACACTGAGCGTGCACCTTCCTATCACTCCGGCCGGCCACCGCGGACAGCAGAGCGGCTCGGCCACGCTACAGGGGAGGGGGTAAAAAGAGAGTGAGCCTTTTCTGTGTTTGAGCGGCTGGTCAAGAGCTGCTAGAGACGAGCCGCCTGCTGTCCAGGAACAGGAGTTTCGCTCTGTACCTGTCGATGACAGGAAGGTGCACACTGACGCGGCACCTTCCTATCACCCGCCGCCACCGCTGACAGCAGAGCGCCCGCCACGCCACAGGAGGGCAAAAAGAGAGTGAGAGTGGGGTGGGGAACAAAAGAGAGTGAGAGTCAGGGGAAATGAAAGAGAGAATCAAAAGAGAGAGGTGGAATAAAGAGGAGAGGGGAATGAAAAGAGAGTGGGGAACAAAAGAGAGTGGGGGGAATCAAAAGAGAGTGGGGAATCAAGAGAGTGAGAGGGGGAATAAAAAGAGATGGAGGGGGAACAAAAGAGAGTGGGGGAATGAAAAGAGAGTGGGGAATCAAAGAGAGAGGGGGGAATGAAAAAGAGAGTGAGAGGGGGAATCAAAGAGAGTGAGAGGGGGGAATAAAAAGAGAGTGAGGGGGGAAATAAAAGATTGGGGGAATAAAAGAGGGGATTAAAAAGAGAGGGAATCAAAAGAGACCAAAAAGAGAGTGGGGAGCGAAAGTAAAAAGAGAAGATAAAAAGAGTAAAGGAATAAAGAGAGTGGGGTGAACAAAAGAGAGAGGGGAATCAAAAAGGAAAAAAAGAGAGCGGGGATAAAAAGAGAGTGGGGAAAAAGAGTGGGGCAAAAGAGAGTGGGGAGATAAAAGAGCGGGGATAAAAGAGAGTGGGGGAGTGGGGGAAAAAAAGAGAGTGGGGGATAAAAAGAGAGTAAAAGAGAGGGGGAGCAAGAAGAGGAGGGGGGAGCAGAAGAGGGGAGGGGGGGGGGAGGGGGGGAGAAGAAGAGGAGGGGGAGGCGAACAAGAAGGGGAGGGGGGAAGAGGAGGGGAAGAAGAGGGGAGGGGAGGGGCAAGGAGGGAGGGGAAGAGGGGGAGTAAGGAAGAGGGGGAGGGGCAAGAGGGAGAGGAGGGGAGGGGGGAGGGGGGGAGGGGAGTGGCATGGGGAGGGCAAGAGGGGAGGAGTAAGTGGGGGCAAGAAGGGGAGGGGAGTAAGGGGGGAAAGGGTAAGAGGGGAGAGGGAAATAAGAAGGGGGTGGAGAGGGAGGGGGGAGGGGGGGAAGAAGAGGGGAGGGGGAGTAAGGGGAGGGGGGTAAGAAGAGGGAGGAGGGGGTAAGAAGAGGGGGAGGGGGGAGTAAGAGGGGTGCCATATGCGATACGCAGGGGATGTCAATTAAAAGTTAACGACACCCCCAGTTGAGATTGCATATCGCAGTGCGATCTGCAAGTTCGCACAGAATCGGATCGCACTAGTGTGAACCACTATGCGATACGATTCTGCTGCGGATAAAAAAAAAGGTCATGTGCGTGTTTAGTGCAGATGCGGTGCAAATTCAGCCATACAAACTGTTTTGGGAAATGCCTCACTACCTATGATTGGCTTCCTGGGGGTCTCAATCTGAATACGTCCGAGACCATCCTTAATTTTACCATACCATACAAACACATGCTAACAAAGCCATCCTACAACACACACTACACACAACCATCCTACAACACACAGATATAACAAGAGTACCGGTAAATTTACACACCCCTGATACTACCTTACTCTTTTTTAATTTAAACTTAGGTAAAAAGTATACCACTGCAGTGTGACTCATCCTGACATTCCGACGCTGAACTCTGCACTATCATACGTGCATTCATTACGTACCGTACTTACGGTACCGGTATTTCCCTACTACGGTATCCCTAATGGAATCAAAGCAAAAGCGTGAAGCATATACAGCTGGTTTCAAGTTAAAGGTTGTGGAATATGCCAAGCAACATGGAAATAGGGCTGCAGCAAGGCATTTTGGAGAGCCACCAACAGAATGCACAATACGAGAGTGGGGTAAAATGGAAGAAAAACTCAAGACATTATCAAAAACAAAATGCAATTTTCGCAGCGGTATTGCTAAATGGCCAAAATTAGAAGAACGGGTGAAGGAATTTGTACTTAATCATAGAAAAGCGGGCATTGCATTATCAACAAAAATGATCATCATTCAAGCAGTGAAAATCAGCAAAGAGTTGCAAATACAAGATTTCAAAGGGACAGCATCATGGTCCAAAGATTTATGAAGAGGCACGAGCTTCGGATGCGAACAAGAACCAGGATTGCCCAGCGTATGCCAGAAGATTATGAAAAGAAGATAATAAATTTTCATTCATTTATTATCAAACAAAGGAAGAGACAAAATTTTGAAATTGGTCAAATCGGCAACATGGACGAAGTACCACTCACTTTTGATGTTCCTTCAAATAAAACTGTTGAAGCAAAAGGTGCCAAGACAGTAACAATTAAAACTTCAGGGCATGAAAAAAATCGTTATACTGTGGTCCTTGCTGTCACTGCAGACGGAAACAAGCTGCCACCATTGGTCATTTTTAAAAGGAAAACTTTTCCTAAGGAGAAGATTCCAAGTGGCATACAGGTGCATGTTCATCCCAAAGGTTGGATGGAGGAAGAAGGCATGAGGCTTTGGATCAGAAATGTGTGGGAGAAGCGCCCAGGTGCTTTGTTAAAGAAGCCATCCTTGTTAGTACTGGACTCATTCAGATCTCATCTTACAGAACCAACAAAGAAAGAATTTCAAATGTGCAAAACAGAAGTAGCAGTCATTCCAGGAGGACTTACATCACAATTGCAGCCATTGGATGTTTCCATTAACAAGCCCTTCAAAGCCTTCATGCGTGAAGAATGGAATAAATACATGTGTGATGAAAGCCAACATGAAAGTACAAGTTCTGGGAGAATGAAAAGACCTGGCATTTCAAAAGTGTGTCAGTGGATAAAGACTTCGTGGGACACAGTTAAAGAAGATATTATTATCAAATCTTTTAAGAAATGTGGCATAAGCAATGCTTTGGATGGTGAAGAAGACGAGCTGATTTATGAAGACAGTAGCAGTGAAAGCAGCAGTGTTCAGTTCAAAGATATTGAAGATAGCAGTGAAGATGAAGAGTTTCTTGGTTTCCCAGATAGCAGCGATTTCTGAGTAAACTTTTATAAAAACATATACTATCCAAGTTTCTTTGTTAAAACAGTTGCTTTTGGGGCGTGGCCGGACGTCGAACGGAGATGGCAGCACACTGAAAGAGCTCCGCAGTTCTGGGCTCTTATAAGCGGCTAAACACCCACAATCAAGCGGTCCCCTGGACCCCAGGCACTCCAACACGATGTCCCAACACCGGAATAAAAAGAATGCAGACCCCAAAGACAAAGCGGCTTTTTTCGCGGCCAGAACGCCGCAACACAAACATGCCGATACTCAAATCCAAGATGGCGCCGAGTCTGATCCGGATGCCGATCACATGGGTGCACAGGAATACAGGACGGACACCCTGCTAACCACTCACCTACTGCAGAAAATGCTTGATGCAGCAGTCTCAAAAATGCAGGTAACCATTACCACTGCTCTTGCTGACATAAAGACAGATATAACTGCCATAGATGCAAGGACATCCCAATTGGAGGGGAGGATGGAGGTTATAAACTCTGCACACACTGAGATGGGCAACCGACTGAGTGACATGGAAAAAAGACTATCCCTACAGGAGGCTAAGCTTACAGATGTAGAAGACAGGTCCCGCCGCCACAACATCAGACTGAGGGGAGTACCGGAGGAGGTGGGAACGCAAGACCTAACGGCCTACACGGTGGAACTCTTCCGACATGTCTTACCAGACATACCAACGGACATGCTCCTGTTAGACCGAATACACCGAATCCCCAAACCGCAACACCTACCGTCTACCACCCCAAGAGATGTGCTCATGAAGCTCCATTACTTCCACGTCAAAGACCAGATACTAAGGGCTCATAGAGCGAAAAAAGATCTGCCAGACAAGTTCAAAGATATCCTTCTATTCACAGACCTCTCAGCAGACACGCTTCGACGCAGAAGATCCTTCAAATCAGTGGCTGAGGTACTAAGGAACCACAACATCCCCTACAGATGGGGCTACCCAGCGAAACTCCTCATCACGAAAGGAGGAAAGCTCATCACGGCATCAACCCCAGCGGAAGGCCTAGATCTCCTGCACAAATGGGGCCTAGCCCAGAACCTACACCACGCAAGCTCAAGCACGGCACCAGGGGCTGACTGGCGCCCACAAAGGCAACGACGAGCGGCGCACAGAGAGGAAGATCGCTAACTTCCCAAGGACTAGCAAGTGTTATTTTGTTTCTTATACTGCATTCTGTTAATATGTTAATTCAAATGTTGGTGATATCCCATATGGAGGTTTTAACACACCCATACCCTGGGCATTAATCGCACTGCACCACCCTACTGCCGACAAAAACTAACTCTAAGGGCACAATAGAAAGATGCAGTGAACGTTCATGACTGGACCTGACAATTAGTGAGACCCAGTCAAACCCCCCTAGAGAATTTTACAAATAGATCCAGCAAGGGAGACGTAATGTGTGGGGCTACAAGTGACGTTCCACCTGGGTAACTACCCCCCCCTAAAACGAATAGGCCCGCAGTGAGAGACAGCATCCGAACCAGGACACGGGACCTATCCTACCCGTAGCGCTGGGAAATAAGGCATGGAGGGGTCAAGACGGAGGGATTAGTGTGACTTACTGCCCTTACACAGCAGACAGGAGGCCCATCCCCTTCAAAATATAGTGTGTATGCCCACATCAGCCCCTAAGGCACTTGTTGAGAACATAAAGAGTACCGTGATGAAATGCTTTGTGATATTTAACTGATGCATTAGGACTTTTATACATTAGAACTGGATGTGCATATGATAGAAATGACAATGCCGAGATGTATGTACAGATTGTACCCCTACATGACAAACGGGCACAATAAGGCCGCATAAACGCAATACCGCAACCCCAGGGCAAACAACAGGCCCGGCTGTGATGACCGCCCGCTCCCCCCTCCTGGAATATCCTCCCGAATGTTACCCGGGGAACCGATACATAAACCACCACGGATGGGTTCACTCCCCGCCCGCAACAACGCCCTACTCAGACCCAAGCTGAACACCACAGGGAAAAAAGCCCCGTAAACATACACCCAGTGGGACAGCCTACACACCAAGGGCCCAAAACAGCCATCAGCTGGATTCGACCCGACCACTTTACCCCCAAAGACGAAGTGCCATTCGTGGCACATACCCTTGAAAGTGACCATTGTAATATACTTTAGTTATTGTTCGACTCCCCTCCCTTGATTTCCACCACCTAACTACGGCACCCAGTTGGTGCCTTAACCCCCCCCCCTTAAATACCGGGACACTACGCGTCCACTGATAGTACCTGCCACACAAGACGGGACACAGTGAGACCACGACCACTCCTTTCCCACAAACATAAAGCCCCCCTAGCGGCAGCACCCACATACCAAGTATACACATATACTGACCACCACGTGGTGACCTGACACACGTAACACACATTAAGACTCCACACAAAAGGCCACTCTACTCCCACCGACCCTCCTAACCAGTCCACAATGAAAGTGTACACGCACAATGTAAGGGGACTTAACACGCCCCATAAAAGATATAACCTTCTCAAGGAAATTCGCAATTCACAAGCTGACATTATCTGCCTGCAGGAAACCCATTTCCGGCATGACTCTTCACCCATCTTAGGACTCAAACACTATCCTCACCAATACCATGCCACATCCCCATCCAAAAGCAGAGGAGTCTCGATCTTAATAAGCCACACACTGGCGTATGACCAAGTAACAGTCCAAGCCGACCCACAGGGCAGATATATCATCCTCATATGCACGCTAAACAACGTTACATATACACTAGCTAACGCATACTTTCCAAATGACTGTCAACCCCGTTACATGTCCACACTATTGGACAAAATAGAACAAATACGCACTGGAACCCTGATCCTATGCGGAGATTTCAACCACATCCTTGACCCACAAGCAGACTCGACGGCGAGTCACACATCCAAAAGAAATAAACTCCTGCACAAGCAATGCACCGCCCTAAACAAAACACTAGCCTCACACGGATTATACGACATATGGAGAACTCTCCACCCAACCTCTAGGGAATACACCCACCACTCACAAGTACACAACACATACTCCCGCATAGATGGATACCTAATGCACAGCGCACACCTTCACCAGATCGACACCTGTGAGATAAGCACCTCAACTGTCTCGGACCACAACCCGGTGCTACTCACCCTCATAGACCTATACCAATACAAACATCGCAGCCCTTGGAGACTGAACGAACTCCTGCTTAATGACCCTGAATTCACGAACAAACTCCGCCACGAAATCCGACAGTACTTCATGACCAACGATATCACAGGAACAAACCCAGCTGCGCTATGGCTGGCGCACAAAACGGTCATCCGAGGACTTCTCCTCAGCAGAGCATCCTACCTCAAGAAATCGTCCCACACGCACCTGCTCAACCTCCTGAAACAAGTCCAAGACCTCCATAGAGAGAATCAAGAGAATCCCTCTCGAAATCTCCAACTGAAAATACAGGCGGTACAGGAAGAAATTAAAAAAATCCATCTCAGGAAAGCCAGTATCGCACTGAAAAAACTCAAGGCTACTTCCTACTCCATGGGAAACAAGGCAACAAAAACATTGGCTCAAAGACTGCGAGTAAAACAAGCTCAGACACGAATTCCATACCTCAACACACACTCAGGGCACAAAGTTATGCAACCAACGCAGATTTGTAACGAATTTGCACATTACTACACCACACTATACAACTTAAGAGACCAAGAAAACCAGACCCAACCCACCCCTTCCTCCATACGCACATACTTAGCAAAACTAAACCTTCCCAAACTCCTAGCGCATCAAGCAGATGACCTATGCGCCCCTATCACCACAGACGAAGTTCTCTGCCAGGTAGACAAAATGCCAAAAGGGAAGGCACCGGGCCCAGATGGCTATACCAACATGTACTACACCACCTTCAAACACGAACTGATCACAGCCCTCACTAGCTTCTACAATGAGGCCACCAGACGTGGATCTTTCCCAAAGGAATTCTTATCAGCTCATGTTATCACCATCCCCAAACCGGGTAAACCCCCCACTACAAGCCAAAATTTCAGACCAATTTCCCTCTTAAATGCTGACGCAAAACTATATGCTAAAATATATGCAGAACGTCTCAAAACAATCCTACCGACACTAATCCACACGGACCAGGTGGGGTTCGTGACAGGCAGACAGGGGCCGGACAACACCAGGAAGGTGTTGAACCTATACAAAATACTAAAGCATACCAAACAACCAAGTGTCCTACTATCTCTTGACGCCGAAAAGGCATTCGACCGACTAAACTGGCACTTCCTCCATGAAACCCTACAAGCTTACGGACTTCCAGCCCCCTTCCTATCTGCAGTCAACGCACTATACAGCACACCCACGGCAACAGTGCTGAATTCCGGGTTCTGCTCAAGAACTTTCCCAATAACAAATGGGACCCGACAAGGGTGCCCCTTATCCCCTCTCCTCTACGTGCTGGCCTTGGAACCCTTGGCTATAGCAATTCGCAGCAATGTCAGTATCCATGGGGTACCGACGGGCAACACAGAATATAAACTCAGCTTATTTGCCGATGACATCTTTCTCACGCTCACGCAACCGCTCATATCACTCCCATCCCTTCACACGGAACTCCAGGCTTACAGCCAACAGTCTTACTACAAACTCAATGTCACCAAAACGCAAGCAATGTGCCTTAACATCCCAAAACCCACAGAAGACGCACTTAAAGCAAACCACCACTTCGACTGGAGAGAAGATTTCCTAGTGTACCTAGGCATCAAAATAACGCGCAAAGAAAAAGAACTCTTCCCGGCAAACTACTTAAAACTATTAAAAGACATTGACAACCAATTAAAAACATGGAGAAGCCTGTTCCTGTCCTGGGTAGGGAGAATAGCAGCGCTGAAAATGACGATTCTACCTAAAATACTCTACCTTTTAAGATCTCTGCAAATCCCAATCCCACAAAGCTACGTAACAAAACTACAAGCGACACTACTACGCTTCAGTTGGGGAGGCAAACACCCTCGACTCCCCAAATCGCTTCTAATGAGAAACGTGCAATCCGGAGGACTGGGCCTACCCAACATTAAAGAGTACTACCGATCCTCCATCCTCACAAACGTCATTTACGCCCACTCGACCAGCTATACCCCTCAATGGGTAACAATAGAGAGCAACCACTGCGGAAATCAAGACCTCCCGACACTGCTCTGGATGCCTCAACATCTACGGCACATACCTACGACTACCCTAGACACCTCCAGACACTTGCTCAAGATCTGGGATGCCTGCAGGGAGAATTTGTGCTCAGCGCACCCGTGGACCCTGGCAACCCCGATCCAAATCCTGCACCAGTGCAACGGAACATTCCCATACCAAAAATGGAGTAGCGCAGGTATCACTCATATCTACCATCTATACACGAAAGACGGGCTGAAAACATTCCCAGACCTACAAAAAGAATTCCTACTACCTTCCAGCTTCACGTTCGCATATCTCCAAATCAAAGCGCACCTACGCAACAACAAGATCACAAACATCCAAAACTCCCTGCAAACCTCTATTACGAAATTCAAAGCACAATGCTTGACGCGGATTCCCCCCAAAAAAGCAGTCTCCCTTTGCTACAACAACCTCGCTAACAGAGATATACACACCACATGGAAGTTCATGCAAGATTGGCAGAACGACCTCCAAATCATCATCACACCAGCCGAATGGGATAAGATTTTCACCTCCCATATAGGACTGACATCAAGCGCAGCACACCTCGAAGCATCCAGGAAACTCCTATACAGATGGTACATGGTCCCAACCCGACTCCACACCATATTCCCAAACTCCTCAGACCAATGCTGGCGCTGCCACGCTGCGAGAGGCACCATGCTGCACATGTGGTGGACGTGCAAGCAGGTGAATCAACTGTGGAAAGAAACAGCCAAACTAATCAAACGAGTCACGAAACACCAACTACCCCTCGACCCCAAAACGATCCTACTGCGCTCGTTACAGGGAAACATCCCGAAGCCGATCCGAAAAATTATATACCTCATCCTAAGTACAGTATCCATACTAATAGCCAGAAACTGGAAAACAACTACGCTGCCCTCGCTCCAAGACATAGAAAAAGTAATGACCTCAACAGTAGAACATGAACTAATAATGTGGAATCAGTCGAAAATTGGGAAACTCAGCCCCCACACTGCCACAATGTGGGAGGACTACCTACGACGAACAGACACAAGACTGACCTGAGCCCCAACACCCATGAAAATGACAAAATCTCCCGAACCAGGCTTACTCTCAGCCGGAGAACACAACCACCCAGCACCCAAACACCCAAGAAGGCACCACACAAAGCTTCAAACATATTGTTGTTACAGTCACTACACTACACAGGATGTCCCCCGCTAGGTACTCCAACCAACACCCCCTGCCCTACTCCACCCATCCAATCTCCCCCCCCTTCCTGGCCCCCCACTACCTACCCCAAGCAATCACACTTAAGAAAACAACCCTCAACCCCTAACGCTTGCGAAAGCCTCTGCAACCTATAGGCAAAGCCGGGGAAACGCAGACAACTCCAACTTACCCACTATCGCGCACGCGATCAACACTCGCATTGCGGAGCACGCCTACCATAATGTACACCCCACGAAAGACCACAGGGTTGATATTGGCATAGATACACGACGACATTGTCATAGATACATGACGACACTGTATAAGTTGAGCAATCAGCAACACCCCCTCGACCTGCTGACATACCCCCCACTTACACATGAAGCTACCAAGATGTACAAAATGTGATTGTGTCATCCCCATGATATGTTAACGCTCCCTCTTCTTTTCTGTACCCCATACCTTTTCTTGAAGATAATAAAAATCTCAAATTGAAAAAAAAAAAAAAACAGTTGCTTTTACTGTCATTTTACGTTATTTACCTTATAAGTGTTAATAATATTAACAGAAAAAAGTTCTGAGCTACCCTTATTTTGCTTCAAAGTTCTTTATTTGAAATTTAAGTTTTTTTTCCTGAAATTTCCTTCTTAAAATGAGGTGCGTGTTATACGCCGATAAATACGGTACCTCATAAATCGTGTAAGACTTGACAGAAAATGCTGTTTAGCCATTGAAACGTGTATAGCCATTCCTTTGTATTGCATACCATTTTATACTGGATATTCATTGATTATTGTCACGCATGTTACATATTATTAATTGGTTATTATAAATAAATCTATTTTTATAACATTGTGATTTATTTATATGAAATACTTCTCACTTACGATAACGATCTTTGGGTCTGAGAATTGAATTAGTGGGCAATTCTCACTGTTACTATTATTATCCCATAAATATCCCCACACTACCCTGGTGAACACAACTCCAACTCTCACAGATGCAAACACCTTGCAGTAGTAGACATTCTCAATTAACTACAAAGACTCAACTACCTCAGATAACTCTTATAAGCCTGCGCCATCCTGAACCCCAGGGGGCGTGCCGGGCTGGGGCTCCGTGTCGCGACACACCCTAACAGCCAACCCTTAAACCCCCCCACTTTGGGGAGGGCTTCTCCTCGACCACCACCCTTAGCCCTAGCACCACTATTTTTCCCCTGCACAGGACCAACAGGTTGCAGAGCTTTCTTCCCTTTCTTTTCTGTGACAGACACACCCCGAAACCCATGTAACCAAGCGAGGACAAAGGAATACATAGAGGGTCACCATTTAACCTTTCAATTGTAGACAACTAACGCCCTAGAAATAAAACGATGGTATAGCCACAAGGACGATTGGTCAACGGGGATGAGGGGCAGAGCGGAGAGATGGGAAAACAGGGACACACACGTAGACCGCAACAATGACATCCACACGGTAGCATAACAGCCCCCCAGGGCCAATTCTGGGGTTAACCTAAGTGACTATATACACTCCTCCCCATATACCAGAGTTACACACCACAGAGGACTGACAGAGATCTCTACTGCACAACCTATCTGACCCCAGCTTGTGACATCCTTGCATAGGTAATGGGTAATTGTGTGATTGTAACCGCAGAAACAGAGATGAGGGGGAGGGATGGGACTGTGTAACTGTATAACTGTGCAATACCTTCCTTTACCTCACCACTATTTCTCTTCTGTATCCCACATCCCTCATCTTGTATACCACATTGTATTAAACAAAATGAACCATAAATAAAGAATTCTAAAAAAAAAAAGAAAAGTGTAATCACTTTTTGTGAAGTCTCCCAAGATGGTGGTCTTTTATCACTTACCCAAAATCCACACAAGATTAGACAACCCTCCTGTGAGACCTTTTATTAGTGGTATGGGCTCCCTCACTAGTAACATCTCCGAATATATAGAATTTTTTTTTCTACAGAAATATGTGACACAAGCCCAATCATACACCAAAGACTCTGCCCAAATAATTAATGAAATTGAGGACCTTAATGGGAAGAAATACTTTTTATGGGGCACGGTTCATGTCACGTCTTTTTTTTTTCTACAGAAATATGTGACACAAGCTCAGTCATACACCAAAGACTCTGCCCAAATAATTAATGAAATTGAGGACCTTAATGGGAAGAAAGACTTTTTATGGGGCACGGTTGATGTCACGTCTTTGTATACTGTCATTGACAGTAAAAAAGGTATACAGGCTGTCAAAGAAATTTTAAACAGTGATCACGAAATTCATCCACTACAGGCAGGATATATTATAGAAATCATTAGATTTATCCTGTTACACATTTTTTTTTTGGTTTGAGGGAATGTATTATCTCCAAACTTGTGGAACAGCGTTGGGCACCAGCTTCGCACCAAGCTATGCCAATATATTTGTGGATTGGAAATCCAATAACATCTGGCAGAGTAATCCCTTTGGTGTGAACTTGCTGCTATGAAAGAGATACATCGATGGTGTCTTCATAATTTGAGAAGGAGAAAGGAGTCTTTTAAAATAATTTTTACAATTTATAAATCTCAATATGTATGGTCTTAACTTTACAGTAGAAATTCAAAAACTATTTAAATTTTTTAGATTTAACAGTTTTTATCAAAAAATGGAATGTACAAAGCAAGACATTTTTTAAACTGACAGACGGGAATGGAATTATCAAGTTCTCAAGTTGCCACTATCCAAATTGGTTGAGGAACATTCCAAAGGGGCAAAATATGAGGATTTTAAGGATCAGTTGGAGATTTAAACAATACATTTATTGATAGACATAATTCTGCCGATATTTTAATCGATTTGCAGAAAATTGTTGAAGGTTTTAAAAGGAAATAGCTCTTGAATAAGAGAAGTAAAAGGAATGTTGAGAATGATCTGAATTTTGCTCTTTGGGAGTTGTAGTACTTGCGAATTTCAGATAAGTAAGACTACAGAATTTATGAGCTCTATCACAAATAAAGTTTTTAAGATAAAGCATTTTATTAATTGCCACCGTAAATTTGTTATTTGTTACAATGTAAATGTGTTGTCCAGTATGTTGGAAGAACAATTAGGAAATTAAACGTGCGGTTACTTGAACATTTTAATGGTATTAGCCACAAGAATTTAAAACAAAGTGTACATAGAGACTGTATTACATGCAAAGATTTTAGATTTAACAATTTTACCTGTATTGGAATTGATACAATTGTTCCTCATTGGCGAGGAGAGGGACATGGATATAGGCTGAAATCTTCTACTCCTTTTGGTCTTAATACAGATTTAGACATTTTGTTTTTTATGGATTAATTATCTTAATGCTATATTTATATATGTTCTTCATTTTTGTTCTTTGTGATATAACAATTTTTTTTTATTGTACCCAATAGGATCCTGGAATTGAACATCTTATTTATTTATTTTAATTAGATTTTGTTTCCTCTTTGGACCCTCCAGACCTATTCATATTATGATTAGTCTTATAATTACCAATTGTGAGTGCATTTTAGATTATGTATTAAATATATTTATTGATTTTTATGCATGTTGAGATTGTTATAATATTTTTAAACTTAGAAGTTGGTTATTTCTGAACTTTACATTTGTAGTATTTGTCAACACCAGATCTATTAATGAATTAATTCCTTATATAATACATTTATGTTTTTGATCTCTTCATTTTATGGTTATCGTGATATCTATTACTCTTTTCTGATCAGGTTTCTGAATTGACCAGTTCCATACAAATAATGTGTTTTAGTTTACGTTTTAAAAATACCTTTTCGGACTTTAAGAAAATAAATATAGGTTTGATTTAGGTATTGTGAACACTGTCAGCAATGATTCTACACGTTTTTTTCCTTGACTGTTCGATTTTGCATTTGTGTAGAATATCAATTAAGTTTATTTGCGTTCCAAATTAGAGTTCACGCATGCGCTTGGGAAACCGTTCGTGCGCCATGACATATGTTATGTTTGGCATAACTTGCTGGGAAATTTGCTGGGAACTTTCAGTGTGCACAAATTTCCCAGTTGAAAGGATTTAAAAGCCAAAGAACCAGGAAGGAAGATAGAAGTTCCTAAGGAAGTCAGAACAACGAAATGCATAGAGCACGAACAAGAAGACCCACAAGGAAAGGACTTATAAGTAATATAGTGACTTGTTTGCACTTTTGCAGCTATTTGCACTTTATTCTTGCACTTTACTTTGGATTACCATATGTGCTATGAAGATAGGGTACCCTGGCTGCTACCTTATGGGAAACTAAGCTTATTTAGGCTACATAAAGTTTTTGTTGCCGATTTTAAATTGTTATTACTATTATTATTATTGGTATTTATATAGCGCCAACTTCTTCCGCAGCGCTTTACAATAAGAGGGGAATTTACCAAATAAGACAATAACAAAATGTAACAGGAACAATAGGTAGTTGAGGACCCTGCTCAAACGAGCTTACAGTCTAGAGGAGGTGGGGTATAAAAACACAATAGGAAAGATATTGAGAGAGACAGCAAATAGACATGGTGGCAAAGTAGCAAAACTGGAGGTGAGCGTGGAGTGTGGTCCTTTAGGAGAGAGCAAGAGGAAGGTTTGAGAGATGTAAGTTACTCTTGGGTTTTGAAGACTAGGGGAGAGTCTGACGGGGTAAGCAGGCTGTTCCAAAGGAAAGGAGCCCCCTGTAAGAAGTCTTGCGGCTCCTTTGCGAGCAGCAGACAGGAGAAGGTCACCAGCAGAGCGGAGAGATTGAGAGGGGGCATACCTATGAATAAGTGAAGAAATGTAAGAGGGACTAGAGTTGGTTAGAGCTTTATAGGTAAGGGTTAGTATAAGGGTACAGGGTACAAAAAGCCATTGTAAGGATCGAAAGAGGGGTGAGGTGTAAGAGGAGCAACAGGAGAGAAAGAGCAGCCTGGAAGCAGCATTCATTACAGATTGTAGGGGGCAGTACGGCTTCTGGGGAGACCAATCGATTAAATGT